AAGTGTAATTTGTAGGTTGAGATCGCTGGCACGCGCAGTTGTTTGTTAACGATGATAACAGGCAGCGGTGATAACAGGCAGCGATGATAACAGGGTGGGCATTTGCTAGGAAGGCTGTATACTTCTGCCTGTTGTTAAGGAGGGTTTACAAAATTTCCTGTATGTATCACCTGCAGTCTATATTGAAGTATACAGATCTATGGTTTATGTAGATCAGTGGTCCCCAACTCAGTACCAGGATCGGGTACCAAAATTTGCTAGATCACCACTCAAATTTTAACAATATCTTTAGGCAATAAGAAGAGTACATCCACACAAACATAAGGTTTATTTTTTCAAAATTTGAGCAAAAGTTACATTTTTATCTTTAAACTAGCAGTTACCCGGCACGCCTTGCTGCGCTAACAACTATTATTTTAAAAAATATTAAGGCATTGCCATCCCTTTTATTGTTTATATTGATAAACGTTTTATGTTTACATTTAACATTGGAGAATTTAAACGTTTTTGAGTGCACAGGTTGATTGGAATTACACTAAAACGTCTCCTTAAGGGGAGCATTGCGCGAATATCACTCCCATGTTATTCTTATGGGAAAACATGTGATTAGATAGGTACATTTATTTTTAAAACCGTTAGAGATATTGACCGAAATTTTTTTTATATTCATTCCTTAGATTGTTTTCTATGATTTCATGCTATATAAACAAGAAATTAGGTCTAGTTTTTAAAATATAAAATGAAATAAAAATTACTAATTTTTAATTGTGTTTTTTTTATAATAAACAACTTTTTTTAAAGTAAAATTAATGGTAACATTCTAAAAATGCATGAAACTATTCACCATGGTAACAGGAAGTATTGTGTAAAATTTGGGCTTGATGAGTTAAGTAGTTTTCTTTAGAATGGTACCTAAACTTATAAAAACTAACTTACGGATATTCACATTAGAAGTGCAGGCTCAGTAGAATCCTGAAGGGCCCTCTTTCAAAAATCCGGGAAAATTATTTTTATTTACAATATTAGACTATGGGTACTCAAATTTTTCAGTTTTTTATCCTAAATGCAAATATGCAGTTTGATTGAAGATAAGACTATTGCAAGCTTAGTAAATCAGGAAAACCCGGGAAAATGGGTAGTTTCCTTAATTTATCTTAATGGAGGATTAAAGATTCCTTCTTATGTAAGAAAATATCCCAAGTAAAAAGTTTTATATATTTTAAAACGTTTTTATTAGCTCGCTTTCTTGTCCGGTACAAACTTTGCAATCAATTTTATACTAACTTCCCGATGAGCTAGAGACTTGAAACTTGTAACATAGCTCACAAATGGAAGACAATGCAATATTATATAATTTAATTCTCATATTTCCCTTGGGCTACGGCCCATGGGCTTGTTTTTATATACTCGCTTTCTTGCACATTTTGATACTTCCCGATGAGTTAAAGACTTGAAACTTGAAACATAGCTCACAAATGGATGACAATGCAATATTATATCATTTAATTTTCATATTTCCCTTGGGCTACGCCCCATGGGCTTTTTTATTAGCTCGCTTTCCTACAAATTTTGATATCAATTTTAAACGAAGTTCCCGATGACCTAGAGACTTGAAACTTGAAACATAGCTCACAAATGGATGACAATGCAATATTATATATTTCATATTTCCCTTGGGCTACGCCCCATGGGCTTCCAAATTTTTCATGTTTACATTTTGAAAGAATGTAAATAAATCTATTAATTTAAGTCAGCTGTAAATACTTAAATTTGACAGTTCGAAGAGCAGAGGTTAAGAGGTACAAGTTCTGCTTCTGAGATATTCTAGAAATATAACACAAGCATTTCAATGTAATAAAACGTCTGATTACAGATAATAAGGTTTTGGTTATGTATTAACAGGCCATACAAAATAGATTTAACCACATTAAAGACTAAAAAGTAGAAAATAATTTATAAATAAAAATACTTTTTAAGAATGTCAGGTTTTTAAACGCACTAAAAAGTAGACAATAATTTATAAATATGTTGATAGAATAAATACTTGTAAGATTTAAAACGAAAAACGTGGGACGCATGCAATAGATCATTATAGTTCAATAGGTGAAGTTAATTGTAAAGTAGCATGCGCTCCACATTTTTCGTTTTAAATCTTACAAGTATTTATTCTATCAACATATTTATAAATTATTGTCTACTTTTTAGTGCGTTTAAAAACGTGACATTCTTAAAAAGTATTTTTATTTATAAATTATTCTTAAACAGCACAAAATACACAATAATTTGTCATCATTTAATAAAAGTTAATTTTTTGAGCATTTTCACGCACTGCTCCCCTTAAAAATATCATATTTATTTCCTATTTAAATAGTTTAACGAGTACTTAGGTTTCATGATGTTAAGCCTACGAATCACTTTAGTCAATTAAAAATGGTTTAAATACCTTTAACCTCTTAACCTCTTACGTGTGTATTCATTTTTTATGTTTGTGTTCGTGTCCGTATTCGTATTTGTGTTCTCGTAGTTTAAATGTGACGAATTCGTATGAATGACAACGTTTGACTTACTTTGACACGTGAAGAAAGCCCCCTGAGGGCTGAAACTGCAATAGTGTAAACTACTCCAAGGATCACCTGACAGTTAAGGTATTTAAACCATTTTTAATTACTTAGGTTTGCTGCAACAGGGGGGAGTAAAACAGTTTTTTTTTTTGTAAAATGTGAATAGTTAGTAAGAAATAAAAACATTTTCCAAATTTGATCAAAATATGTTCATAAACAAGCAAACTACAATAGTTTACTTATTCTCCATAAGAATATCATGGGAATTTTAAATTTAAAATTTTTTGGAATTTTCTCCTAACCATTAGGCGCATAATAACGCTTATATATACTAAATTATTTGTTTTTAAGCTCTAGAAAATAGTTTGGAAAGAAGTTGCAACATTTTATGGTTTTTTGTCAAAAATGGGAAAACCCAATTTTTTCGTTCTGGAGACAACAATCAATACAAGCAGCTCAAGAGAGTTTTCCCATTGGTCGTATCAACCCCCCCCCCCCTCCTACCAGTTTCACCACCCACATTGCAATACGTTTAAATATCTAAATACATAATTATAACAAATATACAGGGTGTTTGCATAGATTAAACATACTCCCTAAGGGAGTATGTTTAATCTATGGTGTTTGGTAGTCAGTGTCAACAATTTTAAGGCATTATTATGCGGGAAAATTGTGATTAAAAGAGGCAATTCTGAGAGTTATGTTTTAGATTTTTCAAAATTCGTTAACATTGTCCATCAAGATTTTTTCAGCTGGTAGCTAAAATGATATTACCAATGGCTTTTAGAATGTACACGAAATACTCTATCAAAAAAGTATAATTTGTTACTGTAGAATCCATAAAAAAAACCTGGTGAATTCGACTTGAGTAAAAAATGCAGCTTGCCTAAAAATGTATATTATTTTTTATATTTGTGAATACTGTTTTTACTATTGTTATACTATTTGGCAGTTGGTTGCATAAAAAATCCTAAGCAGGATGCGGCATCCTTTTTTTGCTTCTTCAAAATCTGTTATTGAAGTTGAATGTACAAGGTTTTATATGGATTCTACTGTAACAAACGTTATACGTTTCCCGATAGGATATTATGTGCAGATAAAAAAATTAAAAATATTAATAAATTAGCTACAAACTAAAAAATAAGATTTTAATAGACAATGTCAAAAAGTTCGGGAACAACTGTTTATGAAAGGAGGAGTGAGGTATATTTCTTCGGATATCTTATATTTATCGCAATTTGCCCGTACAATGCCCTAAAATCTTCCACACTGACTACCTAACACCCAGTATAAATATTGTCTTTATTTCGGGACGGGTCTTAAATCATTAAGACTGTTTTATTGTTTTATTATTATTATTATCTTAAACTCATCGATCTCTATCGATGGTCTTACTATGCTGTCGCTTTAAACATGAGTATAATACACAATAAATAAATAAAACTAGCAATCTAAAAAACAAGTCTGTCGTTTCACCTGTTCAACTTTCATATAATACCTCTTTGATATGACTAACTTTAAATGTTTGGATGTTAGCATCCGGATTATTGAATATGAATTATGAATTGTTAAAAACCGACTAGTTGCGGTGTTTGCAGTATTTTGAATTACAACAAAGCAGTTATTTGCAAAAATTCGACTAAGTTTAGTTACGACAAATATAGTATTTGAGCCAAGGGGGTTCTCTTATCCATTGGAAGGTTCCATTAGAATTGTCTAAGAATATTTCGGATTCCTGAGTTTCCGCGACTCTTAATTCTAAGTTATAGATAAACTTCTCATATTCTTCTTACATCCTGCAAACATTTTCCACAAAATTTTCAAAATTTTCGCTATGTATTTATTCTATTCCTCGCAAGCTTCTTTCCACACCTAAATCTATTAAAAGTATTCATACACTATGTTCTTCTTATTTCTTCCTCTCTTTTTATACTAACAAATTAAACAAAACTTGTTGTTCCCCGTGTTGATTGTTAAATTGTTATGTATTGTTGTTGATAGTAGTAAGATTTGATACATTTATATGTCATTTATAAGCCTGAAATGTAACGTTTTGCCATCTTTTTATGCATATGTAAAATGGAGTTTTCCGTTAAATAAATAAATACAAATAGTTGAAAAATGTGAGGAAATTCAGCATTTTAAACGAATATATATTTATTTAACCAGGCTGTAAATTATTTACAAAACTTTTCAACTCAAATAAAATTGTCAACTCCATTTTACTTTTACCGAAATACTTTTCGCCCTAAAGATACTATTAACCAACACAATCAAACCCAAAAACGATTCGCAAACCACTCGACGTCAGATCCAGACATGGGGAGGCCGCCATTGCTAAGCCCCGCCCCTGCGGCTGGACCAATAGGATCGCAGCATCCTCCCCCGGGGGTTAAAACCACGGGTGGACCCGCGGAAAATTCAATTACAACTGCGGTGTAGTGTGTAGTTGGTGTTGAGTGATGTAGTGCACGATGGCTGGTCCTGATATGTTGTTTAACTACAGACATCAGCACGGCATCAGCAATCAGCACGTAGAGTCTCCACGGCCATCTGTATCTCAGAAGTCGAGGGTTGTTGCGTCGTCTGCACCAGCTGATTCTAGCTCGTCGCCTCCTCTATGTCTCAAGTAAGTTGTGTGAAAAAGGTAGTGTGAAAAGACAGTAGGATAAGGAAGTGAATAAGAAGGAAAGACAGTTTTCAAATTGATATGAGCAACATTAAAATTTGGATGGGTAATCTTACAATATCTTTATACCTAAGGGAGATTTCTTTAAGATCAAGCAACTTTTTTATTCATCTATTGATTAAAAGTCCATTTTATAAAAAAAACTATAACCTTTTCGACTTTCTAGCTATCTTTATAAAAAACAGATTAATAAATCATTTTTTTACCCAGCAATCGTTTTCTAGATAGGCCTACAATGTTATTTCCCTTTTCAAAACAACATTTGTTACAAACCTACTTAAACTTTTTATAACAATTTATTAACCGATCAGCATTACATTGCTATACAGGTTAGGTATAATTTAAGAAAGACAAAAATAACATTATTAATTATATTAACATAGGTAGAGGTCAGCTATGGCTAGCCCCTCAGGCACTTATTGTCACTGTTTTAGCGGGTCGGACTGTAAAGGCGCTGTCAACCAATGAAACACAAATGAAAAAAAAATGGTTATAATAAAACATCTTGAGGCAATCTGGGGTTTAGTCGGAGTCTCTGGATTTCAGATGGTTGGCCTGTGTTATAAAATCCAATGCTGCTGGTTAATGGAAGTTTTGTAAATAATTTTGATGTAATTTTCTTGATGAAATCTTTCCATAGGTTTTATTCCCAGTTCTAAATGTATTTGATGGGTTCGAACTTACCAGGGACATTTCAGAATTATCCTTAAAACTTTATTTTGAAACGTTTGCAGTTTACGAATCGAGCTTGATGAAGCAGTTCCCCATACTGGGCAGACGTACAACAGTTGTGGACGTAGAAGTGTTTTGTATGGAAGGGTTCCATTCTTAATAGACATACATGATTTTTTGTTGATTAAAGGAAACAATTTTGATAATCTGCCGTAAGCCAAATTTAATTTTTTATTAATATTAAATTTCCAATTTAACTTTCGGTCGAAGTATACAGCTAACAACATGTTATTTAATATTTTTTGTTGGTTGTTAATTTACATTTTTATCATCTCTGTTTATCACTGTCTCAAAGTTCCTATTGTCAATTGTACAATTCTAGTTTTTGTTATCACCAGGCTGACTAAATTCCTTCGCCCTTGTTATTCATTACCTTTGACTACGTTATATTTTTCACGGCCATTGTTAAGTTTTCTTCTAATTTTTAAATTGTCTATTCTTGTTATACATTGCGAATGTCTTGTTTCTCGTAGAACTGTTTTGTTTTTCAATTTAAGTTTTGATCTGCTTATTTATTATTGTTCGCTTATAAGACTGACTTGTTGGTACCATAAATGTATGTATTATCGTAAAAATGGTGTTTACAGTTGAAAATAAATTAAATTAAATTAAACATATGGGCAAGTCATTTAGAAATAAAATGTGAGAATAACACATCGAAATGTTTTAGTAAATAAATTAGTAGCTAGGCAAAAACAATACTACACTTACAAAAACATAAAATGTAGTAAAATATGCAATGCTAAACATAATAAATAGTAAATACAACCATAGACTAAGCAGCTAAGGGAGTATGTTTTATCTATGATACAACACACCTGCACCCATGCCACAGCAACTTGCAGGCTAAGCAAATATCCGTCTGATTTGACTTTTGATAAAATAATACCATGACAAGACAAGACATATTAATTCCACATTTAAATATCATTAGATTTGACTTACTTGACTAGCTACATACTAGCTACTAGGTACTTACGTTTGTTGCTATATGGGGCCTTCCCCATATAGCAACACACGTAAGTACCGTACTTAAATGTAGCTAGTCAAGTAAGTCAAATCTAATGATATTTAAATGTGGAATTAATATGTCTTGTTATAATTTTAATGATCACGGTTAGCAGATAAAAAACACGTATTCCCTTGAATACGTGTTTTTTTATCTGCTAACCGTATAGGATATAATAGAAAATTACAAAATTTGATCAAACTAAAGCCATGAACTAGCAAACTGCAGAAGTTTCTTTTTCCACGTAAAAGTTGCATGAAAATTTTTAGTATAGAGTTTTTTCTACGTAATATTTCATTGTAAATCATTGCTTTAATTTTAATTTACAAAATATTTGGTTTTTAATCTATACACAATGGCTTTAATGGTGGACATTTCCATGTAAAAAAAAAACTATAAAAAAAATAAAACCTTAAACACTTTGTTTCTAATCTTGTTGGTTCGCGTATTCATTCAAGTTTATACATCACTACACATTCCATGTCAAATTTAGTCTAAATCGATTAAAATTAAAATTACTGCTAAGATAAAAATTAATGCGAGATATTTCTAAACCTTTAACGTCTGTTATAATTTTTTAACAGAAATTCAATTGTTTACTATTAAAGTTATTTGTTGATCTAACGTATCAATAGTAAAAATTTAACTGTTCTATGGACTATATAGGTAAATTTTGTTTAAGTGGAATTGCGGATGTATTCTCCACTAGAAAAGTTTGTATCTGAAAATTCATTGCGTGTTATTGGAGTGAACATCTAAATCTGTTAATTATTTCTACATAGTCTATTTTTGTTTTCTTCAATTTTGTTAATTATTAATTTGTTAATTGTTTATAGTCTTTTGTGATTGTTAACCCTGTAGTTGAAAGGAACTTGAACAACAGACATACTCAAGTTACCTCTGATTATTTAGACAATGAACATTGAAATTTTATGTTCTGCTCCACTGACAATGTCATTGCACTACTAAACAATTATAACAATAATTATTATTGTTGTAAATTTGTAATTGTAAATGTCCATGATGGTAAATTATTTGATTTAAACACTTTCCTTATGACGTAGGATTTTTCACGGGCGTTTTACTGGTTTCAGCCCATTTATAAGCGTCTTATCTGCCCAAGGAGGATTTTCAGTACTAGTAAATATACATGGCAAACCTATCTGAAATGTTGGTAGGCCTACTTTCCTGTTATAGGGAACATTCATTATTATCGATGATTTTTTCTACATCGATATTTTTTCCCTTCACGATCCATTCTGTATTCCTTCTGTTTTTATCTTCATTCTTCAAACACATTTAAATTACAAATTGACAATGGATCTTAGGCAAAATAATATATGGATTAAGAAATGAAACTATTCTAAACTAACCTAACATAACTAACCAAACTTGCTCTACCATTTTAAAATTCCGTTTGATAACTATAAAAGACTTTTGGGGGAATATCAAACGGGAGTTTGAAATGTTACAGCATCTTTGGTTAGTTATGTTAGGTTAGAACAGTTTAATTTAAATATATTTTTTTATTATTTTTTGTTGATACTGAACAGTATTTATTTATCGTTATTGTCAGCTGGTATTTTTAAATTCGTTAAAATTGATATTTCGGATCAACAAATAATATATCGATATATCGAAAAAATCATCGATGATAACGAATGTTCCCTTTAACTCGAAAAGAACATGGAAAGTACCATGTACATGTACATATGCTGAACATACTATGTTTATGTACTATGTATATTGTTGCAGCTCTCACAAAGTCCCCAGTCTGGTCAGCTATAACGGCTATGGGGAGATAGGGGATGAAGAACCCGTGGAGTTACCCAGCTGTGTCTACGCCTCCAGACATTCAAGTCTTCTAGGTTCCGGACAGTGTGTGCGCAGTCATAGTCATCTGCCTGCATACCTATCTCTAGCAGCACAAGGTATATTATATCATGAATAGTTCAGAATAGTATTTTAGACTATGGGGAGTAGTATACATCCCATTTCCTTGTCCAGGTTGTACTCTTACTCTTGCTCCCATGGCCATGGATACCCTAGGTGGTATTTGGCCTCGCCAACAAGTTGCCTCCATCTCCATCTCTCCCTGTTCTCTGAATCTTCTTTCCTTGCTCTCAATCTTTGCAAATCTTTCTCCGCCTGGTCTTTCCATCGATTCTTGGGTCTTCCTCGGCGTCTTCTCTCTGCTGGGTTTTGTCTCCAAACTTCTTTTATTAGTCTGCCATCTTCCCTTCATACATTATCCTCCATACAGGTTGTACTCAGTTACAAAAAATAGACAATAACTAGTATCTGTATGATGCAACCTGTCCCTCCGTGTACCTGGGGACATGCCGGGCTTTAAACAGCATTGGCCAGTCCCCAAGTAGAATGGGGAGTCAGAAGACAGGTTCCATCACACAGATTATAGAATATATGTTTTTACGGTCTAAATAGAATGTAAAATCATGGTTTTGAGAGGTGATCGTGTTGTTCATTGACAAAAATACTAACTCACGTTACGGATTGGTTACTAAAATTCAACTGAATGACTGGGTTTTCTCAAACTCCAGGCCGTAATTTGGTGAGTCGGCGGCTTATGAAATACACCAGCAAACTGTGTTAGGCACGACGGACTTCGGAACATTGGATCCATGTCAGCGATATCGTGGGTTAGACTGCTGGGTCACTGCTATTACACTTATCAGTACAGTAGAACTCTTGTACTGTCTACTGTGCCAACTCACCCCTTGCTTTACTGGATACGTTCCATGCACAGGGCAGAGGCCCATGTGTGACGCAAGCGCCACAGCTACATATATGTGGACGAGCAAATGCAAGTTAAGAAGCTAACAAACCTCTTAGTCAATCAAGCTACAGCACAGCTTGAATTGTACAAATTGAATTGTACGTTGTAACAAATATGGATTACTGCATCGTATTCAAAACACCTCCCAGTATTTTCGCCATTTTAACGACGCGGTCACATAAACGACATAAAGTTTTACTCTTCTTTAGAGTTGAACTTTTAGGTTTTGTGAGGGATGTTTGAGGGATTGCCTACATTTACCATCACGATTAGTGAAATACAAGTTCTGTTTTCGTGACGTTTGGGATTTGGAATGGCAAGAAATTACCTAAACCTTTTGACCGTTGATGCAACAATGTGCTATTCTGTATCCAATAGTCAATGCTAATAAATTACAAGATTAATAAAAAAAACCCCAGCCAGAGCTCGAAAAAATAATATAACACACAGAAAGCTGTATAATGGTCGGAAAACATGCAGAAAACCCAAATGAAACAAACAATACATGGGGTTAGAACAAAGGTCGAAAAACAACCAACCAAATGTCCGCATCGCTCAAACACCATAACACCATGACCAAAAATGAATTGTAAATGATTTTACAATGCTCTAACATGGTCAATAGTAAAGATTTTGAGAAGAGCGCCACAAAATGTGAAAGAGTATTTATACTTTTATGATTTCTGACTTCATAATGTGATAGGCAGATGGTTTGATATCCATTCTTCCCCTATCTCTCATTCAATGAAATCCGAGAAGGCTGTCGTCAGAATACGGGACAGGTGTAGCTGACCCGCTTTGCATTTCACTCTCGAGTTACACAGCATTAATCAATTAATTAATTAATTAAACCCAACAGTACTGAGGTAGGATTGTTTTATAGCCTGCAAATTTGTCTTTGTTAAGCTGTTTCGCGGTGCTGATGGGTTTGACTTGGCATTACAATCGTATATTTAATTGTAGTTTTATATAGCACAGAACATATATTATGTTAAATATATTATGTATAAAATGGGTTTCTTCTTGTGCTTGAGAGACCTGTATTTTTCAGCTTGGTTCTACAACTTTGATGTAGGTTCTAAGCCTCCTCTATTTACAAGACCGCGGTGAGACAAAAGTGGCAACACCGCAGTTCCGGTCAACTGGAACCAGAACCAGCGACTACAGAATAAATCTGTGGTCGCTGACTGGAACAGCTGTTGTAATTAAATTGATAATGAAGTGTTTTCCCAATGTTTATGTTTACATGTTTGTTAAAACCGTTATTGCCATGGCAATGGGCCAGACAATGCAACGTTGCCACACCTCAACGCTGCGGCCTTGTATTAGAGGAGGCTATAAGTTATTAGCCATAAAATGCACTATCACATAGAAAATTATCATTGGAGATCTGCATACAGTGGATTGCTTAAAGTTATTGTTTTGGACATTAATCTGTATACAAATTTTAGAGCATCGTATAAAAGAATGGCCTTCTCTAATACAAGGCCGTGGCTTTGGTGTGTGGCAACGTCGCACCGGCCGATCTATTGTTGCCTTGGTAAAACAGTAATAACAAACTTGTAGCATAACCATTGCACAGAAGTTCCATTATGAAGTGTAACAGCTTTTTCGGTAGGCCGGAACTGCGGTGTTGCCACTTTTATCTCACGGCCTTGTGTAGAGGAGGCCTTGATAACCTAAATAAACAAGTTAAATAAAACCTTTGACTATTAATACAACTAGACATTCCATCCCCGTGTGAAATTCCGCATCCAATAGTCAATGATAAAACCTTTCCTAACAAGCTTCTGTTGCAGATGACATAGGGGAGGCTGAGGACGGCTACTACGGCGCGGGCAGTCCCTACAGAGTTCAACGGCAAGCGGCGAACATCAGGGAGCGGAAGCGGATGCTAAGGTCAGAGCCGAGGCCCCGGGCCCCCACAGCCCCGCCGGGGCCCCTAGACCGACCCCCCGTCAAAATGTAAGCCCTCACGCCCACAAACAGCGAAGCGGCTAGGCCCATCCACCTGCAAATCCTAATTCATCAACCTCCTTCTCATCCTCAAGTTGTATTCCCTGTCACTGAGCTTTTTGTCCACATTGCACTACACAGCCATTCTCATGCTTTTTTACATTGATTTGCTTTCATTTACACGATCGTTAAATATATTCACACAATATTGATCCTGAAATCCCATTAATCCACATGTCTCCTACCAACAATTGAACACGTAACAACGTTTAATTCACATTCATCCTAATCTTCCTATTCCAAATTAATCCACATAACTGGATTCAATTTTGATCCAAAACATTCGTATTCACCTATTCTAAAAGTAAATTCGGCCACGCCTATTCTGGGTTTCGTCCTCTGTCACTCACGTGATTTTCATTCATACCTATCCTTTACTCCCTGTTTTATGTTTTATTTGACTACGGTTCTAATAAAAATCGATTACTTTTGGTCTGATTTCATTGTGCAAATAATGCGCCACATAAATAAATAAATTCGAAGAAACAACAACAAAACAAAAATATTCATATCAAAATAAATAGGATGAATTCAAGCTGAAATTTAGATAAACAAACCTAAAAACAAAACAATAATTAGCCTCTATTATATTTTTTTTTAACTTAAACGTATCCTGCATAAATCTTTCTCAAAACAAGACATATAATTTAGAAAACTAATACAGTACTACTCGTGTAATTTATAATTTTGTTTCCACAATCATGCTTATTCTTAAAGAACATAGTACTAAAATAACACGTTCTATAAGGATTAATAGATTTAATAGGTATTAATAGGATTGATAAACTACTTAATTTTATATTGAGGAAAATGTTTAGGGTATTTTATATCGGATCTTCATTCAGATAGGCTGTTAACAATAATTAACTGTCGCCGTTTGAACACATCCCATCAACGACTCAACAATAAACAGTAAAAAACACCATTAAACCAATTACGTCTGTACATTTGATGTTTATTTTTTGTCCATCAACAATCCTTTTTGATTTCCCCCCTAAAATCTCTTACAACTCATAACAAACAGCGAAGTTCACTCTATTTTATTACCAAATTTTAAGTTGTAAGACTAAGTTTAGCGTCTCAAAATATAAATAAACTATACTTTGCTATATTCCTTTGATAAATCAATTGGATAATACTTTTTTCCTAAATCAAACAATATAAAAAATGTGTTGAGTTAGTCGTGTGCAAATAGAATAAATGATTTTACATTTTATAAACGTGAGATTATCTGTACCTGTAAGATTTTGAATTCTTAGTAAGCTAGGAAAATCCTTTGGTATTTCATGGTTGACAAATATTAAAAATGCACAAAGCAAATTCCTTGTGCTTCGATGAAGGTTCGTGTTACAATATTTGCATTAGTTGCATTGCTAGGTGATTTGTAAGAGAAGTACTTTTGATTCCCAAAAACCCAAAGAATGAAGAATTAGATCAACATTGACCAAGTTTTTTTTATGTCTTCGCTGTTTGTTTGTGTTGTAGGGCTACAATTTTTCCCTTTCCTTTTACCTCTCCTAAACTCTTTCTCATTCATTCCTTCACTATGTCTGCAATTGTATGCTTTTTTGTGTGATTATTAATTTTATAGAGTTGTAAAATCTGTTTTCTTCATTAGTTTATTTCTTTGATAGAATTAGATGTAATACTCATATAGGTGTTAGAATAGATATTTGAATATGGGTAAGGGCATGAAGGTAAAGTTCCATTTTCTCAAAAAAATTTCTGGGTAGGGAACATTGGACGAATTCTAAATTGGTCAAGTGAATCCAATTTATGAATTGAATTGCTGTATGAAATTCAAAAGTCTTGCCCTAAAAGATGCAATATACGTTATGTAAAACAGTAAACGATCGTTTGCATGACAAACAATGATCGCTTTAGACATAGGCTACGCTGGAAGGGGTTAAAGACGAATATGTAAAGTCATATCATTGTGAACGGATTTAGATTAAAACAGGATATTTTTAGCAGAAAGCAAAGAACTTTCAACGGTATTTAAAGTGGTACTATTTCATTAATATAACATTTCAAACGACATAGTTAATAAAAAATAATAAGTCCAAACAGTTTTCTTCTCAATATAATTTCAGTACTGCTTGTAGAATATTGATGAAAAACTAGCACAACAAAATTAGTAATGCATACGAGATTCCCATAAAAAGAGATAAAAGGAGTTACCATGGTGACAAGCAACGGCACCCCATGTGTCTGGAAGGGAACTTCCCCCCTCTAAGGATGAAAACAACTACTGAAAAAAAAACTTGACTTTGCCGCTTGACTTCATTATGCTTGTTATTCAGCAGCATCAACTCGGCGTTTGACGAACTGCGCAGCCATGTGCCAACCTTCCCCTACGAGAAGAGACTCAGCAAGATCGACACGCTGAGACTGGCTATCGCCTACATCGCGTTACTGAAGGAAGTGCTGACGGCCGACTGCGATCCGCTCACATACGTGGAGAAATGTCTGCGAGGAGAGAAACAGGTGGAACGTGCTGAGTGGAACACTTCAGGTGAGATGTAGGGTTGAAATGATTGTCAAGATGATAAACCAATATAAGATACTCCGCCGTGGCAGTGGTGGTCCTAGGACCTTGTCAAAGGACTAAAGGAGGCTACCGGCTGGTTTAGGGTTACCCGAGAAAGGAGGGAACCCGGGATATTCCCTTGAAATTTTGGTGTAGTTCTAAAGTCATTTTAACGTCCAAAGGCCTCCGTTGCGTATTTAAGACAATATGTAGGTTTAAATTGATTTTTCCACGGTTCCAGGAGGGGGGTTTTAGACTCTCTAGTCCCCCTTCCCTTGGAACCGCCACTACACCGTAACAAACCTGGATACGTAGCGAATGTATGTTTGCCTGATCAGATTGTCACTCAAATATTTCCTTCAACATCTCATATATTTATTCCATATTTAATTAACATTTAGGTGTAATGAGAAGCTCAAAAGAATGTTATAAGTGTGTTTTTTGTAAAATAGTAATATAGCTTGGTATGAAATAAAGAAATTTCATAAGTTTGGTAACAATAAATCTGTTAACATTTATTCTCCGTTTGAATAACATAATTTTTAATTTAGAGTTTTTTTTTGGAATTTTCTCCGTAATTATTTGACTTCAACGTTCTAAATTATTATTTTCTCAAGTTCTAGAAAATGGTTTGGAAAGAATAAAAAAAATGTTTTGGAGGTGAAGAATGGGGGAAAACAATTTAATTTCCCATCAAACCCTTTAAGAACCACGTTCCCATTGCCCGATCGTGTTAGTTGGTGAAATCGTTCGGATACACGTAGGTGAATACTCTCAAAATCGGATGATTTTTCTTGAGTTGTTTTGCTAAAAGACATGGCCTCTGGGGACATAAAACATGAAAGTAAATAGGTCCCATGTCAAGGTCTTACAACACCTATAATAATAGCTTATTCCCCGTATGGGAAATTCACTAAAATAATGTTTCGAATAAGGTAAAGACCAACGAGTAGATTGCAGTAGCATGGAGTTTGGAGTTTTGTTTGGTGCTAGAGTATATTTTATGGGAAGTTGTCAAGATTTTTTTCTGAAGCCAGAAAGTTGAGCTAAATCTGGCATTAGGGCGGAGCATAGTTGTGTCGATTTCTGAAATTACTTCAGTAGTCATTGAGAGTTTGAGCTGGCACTTTGAACTAACTGTACAGCTACATTTTTAATGGCTTTATTTTAGTAACGGTACCGGTACCCAAACCTAACCACTGCTGTGGTTTCATAGATTACCTTGTTTTATAGCTTGGCGTTACTTTTGCCAGGTTTCTCACATTTTGTTTTTCTTACAGACTTGACGGCTCGTCTTTCGTGGATAAACTGGGAGAATTTGGGAGTGAACCCGAATCGCCGGAGTGTTCTGACGTCACTAGCTCTGACTACAGATACTCTCAACAATTAACATAGTCTAGTCAGCTTTTAGCAACCCAGTCTAGTCACCACAGTGCAATACCATCGGACCATTCTAGTCACTTGTTGTTGTCCCTTTACCATTTGTTGTGTATTATTGTTGTTTGATTTAATAAAGTTTCTTTCATTTTTGTGAATGTGTAATTTAATCAGAGGCTGCAAGACCCCGCAGGCTCTGTGGCCATGCACGGGTTTAGTTTAATTGGGAGAGTTTTGCAGAAATTTCCTCTGTAAGCTGACGAAGGTTTTACGACTGTTTTGTAAATTTCGATTTTTGTAGGGTTCAAATTTTGTCTCCGATTTATAAAAAACACCTTATAGTCCACTGTCAAATGTACACCCGTGTGCTCCTTGATGAGGCAGGTGTGGGAGTAGTCTTGATCTCTTCGTTTGACCTTGGAGAAATACAATTTCGATGGTAGGCACTCTTGAAAATGGTGCGTTTGAACGCTGTGGGTAAAAAACAAAATGGCCGCCATTTAAATGTTTAAAGTCAAATTCCATGAAAACCAGCTGTTAAAACAAAATGTTGCAACACATTATTTAAAGTCCTTTTTATTACAAATAGAATGACACTTTGTTTGTGAAAATCAGATAATAAATAAAAAAGTTATGTTACTTTTATTATTAATAGTAATAATCAAAATGGCAGTCATTATAAAATCACAAAGTTAAATTCCATAGAAACTAGTGACAAAAACATAATAAAAGTTACATAACTTTTTTATTTATTATCCGATTTTCGCAAATAAAGTGTTGTTCGATTTGTAATAAAAAGGACTTTACATACTGTGTTTCAAAATTTTGTTTTAATTGCTGGTTTTCATGGAATTTGACTTTAAAAAATTTTAATGGCCGCCATTTTGAAATTCGATGAGCCTGATCAAAGATTTTTTCGGAGAATGTTTATAGTTGTAGACTTAAAGTTTATACCAAGTTTCATAAAAATATCTCCAAGAGCTTTTGAGTTAAGAATTATTTTCAAAAAATACAAAATGGCGGATCACGGCTAAACTAAGCCGAAAAAAAATGTATGCTACATTTTCGACTTATTTTTGCACATAGAATCTGAATCTGCATAGCCCGTTACGCTTTACTGAAACACCCTTTATTACTTTTTGAAATATTTAACTGTCCTAGGCATTACTTCCACCCTAATTAATTTATTTATGGAAAATATAAAATTATGTTTTATGAAAGAATGGTGTAACCTACATAAAAACTTTAACAATCTTTTTTGTGCAGATTTGAAATAGCTAAATTTTGGTATCAACAATTCTTTCATAACTCTAACGGTTACTGATATAAGTAAGAAAATAAGTTTGCGACGGCGGCCATTTTGTTTTTTACCCACTAGCGTTCAAACGCACCATTTTCAAGAGTGCCACCATCGAAATTGTATTTCTCCAAGGTCAAACGAAGAGATTAAGACTACTCCCACACCTGCCTCATTAAGGAGCACACGGGAGCCTGTATATGTACATTTGACAGGGGACTATTATTGCCCTTTTAACTTTTTTAAAATTAATTTGTAGCAGACAAACTAAATTAAGAAAAACATCATCAAACTAAAAACAATATTAATCTATCTATTCCGGGTTGGGCAAAAGTATGGGCCCCAGGGGCTATTAACTCGGGTTACACTAGGAAATCCAAACTCTGCACAAGTACAACATAAAAGTATGGTTTTTTTTTATTGGCATCTCAATTTTTTAATGAACTAAAATGGGATATTTTGGGGGAAGCTCACAAAATTTAAACGTAAGCCCCTAAGTGACGGCCCATTTTAAAGTACATCAGTGAAAAAGGATATCAGTGAAAATTAGAGGTATCATTCTTAGGCCTAACATCATTAAGGGTGGGGATAGTGGACATTTTTATTTTTCATCAGTTTATTGTCTGCACTAATTCATCAGTGTCATTTCAACACACTGTCTTTATTCCAAAAGAGTAGCCTAAGAGGGTTAATTTATAGGAGTATATACTGATAAAGTCAATGACTTGGATGGAAGAGACCATATATTATTGATGAGAAAGGTTTGAAGTATGTCAATGAAGTGAAAAATAGTTGACAAATTGAGCTGATTTCCCCCATGAATAGAGCCTAAATTACCACAATCTTAAAAGAGTCATAGTTATCTATATATTAATTTGAAACTGTTTTTCTTTGTCATAGCTATTTTGAGAGAACGGCAGGGTGTAGAAACTCGGTAGAGGTGTCTAAAGAAAGGTCTTGGTCTGTAGATGAGCCATCAAAAGAGAAACATGGTGAATTCCCTTGGGGGCTCTTCCCCAGTGGCCTTTAAATTCCCATCCCATGTTATTCTTATGGAGGAAAACGGGGTTTTTGTCACAGCTAATTTGAGAGAGCGGCTGGGCGTAGAAACTTGGTAGGGGTCTCTAAAGAAAGGTCTTGATCTGTAGATGAGCTCTTTCATCAAAAGAGAAACGAGGTAAATTCCCATGGGGCTCTGCCCCAGAAGCCTTTAAAGTTGCCTCTTCAGATTTGTTTACATTACGACTATATGCATAATTCTACACTACTTTTTAATGAAACAGCTGTTAATATTTAAATTGTGATTTATTGAATTTGTCAAAATGAAGTACAGTATTTGCATTAGTCCAGTCAATGAATGATCCAAAAGTAGGTAGGTGTAGAGTGCGTGAGCAGGTAACTAAGCGATTCCTTCAGAAACTTGTTCAGGGGGCTTAGGGTGTTAACATACCAAAAGTCCTGACTCCTAGGTGGTGAGCCAGGTGGTGGAGGGGGAAAAAGGGGGGAAAAAGGTACGCATTTTGGGTTTTTTGATTATATCTCGAAAACTATCAACTTTTTGTATACTATAGTAAATTATAAAATTGAAGAAGATTAAATTTTCTACAAGAAAAGAATATAATGTGTTTATTTTGGTTCAACAGATTACGAGTTATAACTTATTTAATTGATATCTTATTAAAATACTCCTTCCATAAGAAATACATGTAAATTAGTATGCGAATTGGGGCGAATCCTATCCGCCCAAAGGAAATATAACTGATATTCTGGAAATATTGACAAAATTTCCAGTAATTTGACACTTTAATCATGAAATTTTGTCAACAATTAAAGCGAGGGTGAGCGTTTAAAAATGGGATGATTTAAGGTTTTTTTTATATTTCCAATAAAAAAACACCAAAACTCGAAATTTTGTTACCTCGCCCTCGCCTTAATTTTGGATCAATTTTAATGATTAAAGTGTCAAATTACTGGAAATTTTGTCAAGATTTCCAGAATATCATTTATATTTCCTTTGGGCGGATAGGATTCGCCCCATTTCGCATACTAATTTACATGTATTTCTTATGGAAGAAGATTTTAATAAGATATCAATTAAATAAGTTATAACTCGTAATCTGTTGAACCAAAATAAACACATTATATACTTTTCTTGTAGAAAATTTAATCTTCTTAAATTTTATAATTTACCATAGTATACAAAAAGTTGATAGTTTTCGAGATATAATAAAAAAAAATCAAAATGCGTACCTTTCTCCCCCCCCTTTTTCCCCTCTCCACCCCCTGGCTCACCACCTAGGAGTCAGGACTTTTGGTATGTTAAAACAACCTAAGCCCGCTGAACAAGTTTCTGAAGGAATCGCTTAGTTACCTGCTCACGCACTCTACACCTCATTCCTTGACTGGACTAAATGGGGTTTTCTGATTTTAAATTGGATTTTCTTCTGCATCGTGTAATGTTTTGCAATATAATGTTCTTCACAGTAACTCTTAAAATTATTTCTTTTGGAGTTAACTTATATCTATTGCATGGGTTGGTTTCTGCCTTTTTTACCACTTCTTGGAGATTGTACGTAGGTGATATTCGTTGGCATATTGCATCTGTAGACGAAACTTGGGTTGGTGTAATTATTACAATGGAAAAGAGCGAGGAATCCTGGACAATTTGATATGGGCTAAAAATAAAACTGAATTAACAATGTTCTACATTTCTTGAGCAATCATTGAAATAATCGATTTGCAAACAATGGAAACATAGAAAAAGTCATAGAACACAACCAAGTAGACGAAATAGAAATGATTTTTTGTTTAATTTATAATCGTTGTCATAGACAGCCTAATGCGGATATGAGAGGGAAAATTTTTTAGAAAACACTAAAAAAACAAGATAAGCTTTTTGAAAAAAGATAATATGATATTTAAAAAAGATTTTGATTATATCTAACTGTTGTGTAGATCGTGAGTATTTCCATAATCTTTGAATCGCCTGTAATGCTTCGCAATTGCTCGAATTCGAGCAACAGGTACACTAGTTTTTAATTAAATATAGGTATCTCCTAGGCCGTCCTGACAGCTTGACAAGTTCCAATATCATTTCTATGAATACGCCTAATATTAGAAGTGCCAATTGGAATCCGCATTCTCGTTAAGAAGAATCCCAATATTTTTGTAACTAACAGCATGGTCCACAATTACAATATGAGAGGAGCAACAAAACCACATGTACCTCAAGTAAATTCCGCCCTTGCAGGCAAGAGCCCTTTTACTTCAATAGTATCTAAATTTACAATAAATTGCCTCAGTACATCACACAAGAGCCTTCTATCGAAAATTTCGTGAACCTGCTAAAAAACATATTTAAGTCAAGCGGCCTACTACAGTGTTGATGAAATATATCTTGGCTATGTGCATCCCTGAAGAGGAAATGAATCCATACATATATTAATAGCAAGAAAAGTATAAAACAATACTACTGACGACCACGTCAAGTGGGAATACTCCAAAAGTATCCAAGTATAGAACTAGAACATAATTATTCTCTTTAGCGTTATCCTCCCGTTTCGAAGCACGGCATGGTGACTAGAATATCCATAAACAAGTAAACTACAAGTGGTAACATCACAAGTAGGGTTGTAACATCTGTTTTGTTTGGAGGCAGCTAATGGTGTTTGCGTGTATGTTTTAAGAATGCGAAAGCTTGGTTACTGGCACTGGTCTATGAAAATATTGACTCAGCTTTAAATGTACAAAAATATATTTTCAATTAAAATATTGTTTAGGGTTTCAGTTTTATATGTTCCATTTTCAATCGTTTAATAAATTGATGTCCATAAATTTAAATTTAAATGCATAATACACGAATTAATGAGCTGTGGTGCACGGCCGCCTTTATCAAATCTAATCAAATCAATCTCTATTTGCACAAAACAGTTACATAATTACACATTGTAACCATAAATAGGTGCATCGTTAATACAATATTTTTTATCACATAGAGACATTACACATTCAATTCTCAATGAAACAATGAAATATTAGTCAAGATGGCGTCTACCTGCGGAATCCCAGTCATTAAATTCAGAAACTTTGTACATGTACAAATCTATCTATCTCCAGGCCGCGGCCTTTGCAGTGGCAACGTCGCAAGTAGGGAACACAGGTAGGGAAGTAGGGAATGGTTGTAACAGCTGTTTTGTTTGGAAACAGCTAATGGTATTTGTGCTGGTATTGTAACTGTCAAATTAGTATATCTATTTGTTTTGATTTGGTTGTTATTGTTTTTATTATTATAAAAACAATAACAATCAAATCAAAACAATTAGATTTTTTTTATTTTTTTATCACAATTTTATTTACAATCTGTTCATTTTTAGAACATTTAGCAAATACAATAACAACTTTTAATAAAACGTTAGTTAATCTCTGTCCATTGACAAAGCTAACTATAAAATATTTCAATGAAAAAATAAATACGTAAATAAACAATGGAAAATTAAATTGTTCAAACAAAACGTGTGCTTAGATCCAAAACATGAATCCTTTTTAGCCTGTACTGGTGCTGTTGTCCAAGAGGTTTAGAGCCAGGTGATTAGGGTGATTTTCAAGTTTCTTTAGATATTTTGCACTAAATTTGGTTATTTCCTCTTCAACCGTAGGAATTCCACTGTCCTTGTGAAGGATATTGTTATTAACATACCACGGGGCTTGCAGAATGAACCTTAAAACTTTTGACTGAAATCGTTGGATAATGTTTATGTTCGACATACTGGACGTTCCCCACAGTCAGTTGGATTCCATAAGTCCAAATTGGCTTCAGTATTACTTTGTATAGTAATAATTTATTTGCAATGGTCAATTTTGATTTACTATTTAGGAGCCAGGAAAGATTTTTAAATTTTAAATTTAGGTACATTCTTTTATTCCAGATATGGGTTTTCCAGGTTAATCTTTTGTCAATCGTCATGCCGAGGTATTTCACATCGTGGGATTGCGGAATTTGGACATTATTTAAGGTTACAGGAGGACAAGTACCTAATCTGGTAGTGAAGGTCACATGAGTAGATTTGCTCTCATTCACTTTTATTTTCCATGTTTGCAACCATTCTTCTAAGTCATCTAGGGAATTTTGAAGATTAAGTGAAGCTACCACTGGATCAGGATGGGACGCTAAAATAGCTGTATCGTCAGCAAAAGTGGCCACAGAAAGATGTACTATCTGTTTTTATTATTATAAAAACAATAACAATCAAATCAAAACAAATAGACTAAGTCAAATTTGACTAATTTGACAGTTACAATCAGGTGATCTTTTGTTTGCAATCCGAGTGACGTCAGAATATGTGGGAATAGCACACCTATGTTTTTGGTATGTTATTTGGTTGTTATTAATTATTGTATTATTATAAAAACAATAACAATCAAATCAAAACAAATACATACAAATTTGACAGTTACAATCAGGTGATCTTTTGTTTGCAATCCAAGTGACGTCAGAATATGTGGGAATAGCACACCTATGTTTTTTCCTTCCACCATGGTATTTGTGTATTTACGAAAGCTTGGTTACTGGAATATGAAAATATTGACTCCACTTTAAATGTACAGATATAGATTTTCAATTCATATTCTTTGGTTTTCAATTCCGTATGTTTTATTTTAAATATTTTAATACATTTATGTTCATAAATTTAAATCAATGAAGTGCGACATAATGAGCTGATGTCACCTGTCTGCCATGTTATCTTATGGGACGCATGCATGACACTTATAGTAATACCAGAAACAAAAGAACCCTGGACCGTTTCGAGCCACGCAGGTTTGAATGGTACGCCACAGGTGCAGGTAGGTACCTGCGCGAACCACGTGATCTTTTCGTTTCTGGGCAGGTTGTTTTGTTCTTGGGATATCTATAACAACCCTACTTGCAACGTTACCAATTCCAGGGGCGGGGAGCACAATTTTTATTTCAGCTGCAGTTATTTTAATAAGAACAAAATGAGAGCATTCTATTGGCTGAGGGAACACCATTAGCGCAATGAAACGGAATGAAGCCATCGGCCTTGGTGGTCTAGTGGATAGCATGCCGGGCTTCGAAACTTATGGTGCCAGGTTCGAAACCCATCGGGGGCAATAACTTTTTGTCTAAGATTTTTGCATTATCAGCAAGTTTGGTTAGTTTTGTTAGGTTATAACAGTTAAATTTTATAATAAAAACCTTATAAAATTGAATTTGAGCTATTTATAGTTTTATTTTATGAACAGAACTTTTTTTTCGATTAGTAAACCTTCATTCAATTTTTTCATTATCAGCAAGTTTGGTTAGTTTGGTTAGGTTATCACAGTTTAATTTTATAATTAAAAAATATAAAATTTAATTTGAGGCATTTATAGTTTTATTTTATGAACAGAATTATTTTTTCTATTAGTAAACCTTCATTCAATTTTGTCATTATCAGCAAGTTTGGTTAGTTAGGTTAGGTTATGACAGTTTAATTAAAAAATTAACTGTATATTTTTTAGTTTTAGGCCTACAATAATTTTTTTTTAATTTCTAATTTTTAAACTCTCATTTTGTCCGTATTAAAAAACTGCAGCTGAAATAAAAATCGTGCGGCCGGGGATCAATTCTACCAGGCCGTGGCTGGTGTCACCTGTCTATCATGTTACCTTATGGGACTAGTCAACACCATGGTGGAAGGAGTCAACATTACAGTACTTACAACGTCGCCAATTCTACCAGGCCGCGGCCTGGAGTTAAAGGTGGCTGTGGTGCCAACCCAAACTTCTCCTTTTTGGTGGCTGGTTGTCGTAGTGGCTCCATGCCGAACTTCCCGTAGTGCCACCTTGACGCGCTCCCCATGAAACAGAATTAACACTTTTTTGATATTAATTAATCTTAATAATATACAAGTCTAATACCACTAGATCACTAGTCAAAATCAATGATTAAATATTTTGATTGACAATAATAGTCAGCCAATTTTACTACCAAGCAGAAAAAAGTAAACATAACCAATTTCAGATGGTTCTTGTCGTGGTTCTTCTTCTCACTAGAGAGAGGCTAGCAATAGCAAAGCAACACAGAAGATAAAACAGCTGATCTGTACGGCGTAATTTACAGAGTTTGAGTTTACACAAACACAATTATTTTACAAGTCTGGATTCTGCTGGTTCTGATTCACTCACTGATTGTGATTGTGATTGTGATTAATTCTGCATCTTCTTAACTACCCGATCTCGATGTGATGATAGTGATTTGAGTAGTGATTCGGTGAGTGATCTACCAATACCATAGATAAATCCTACTGATGGTGATACCCTCTGATACTACTACTATTAGGTGCAAGGTGCATAATATACTCCATAGTCTCAGTCTTAGAACTTCAGATTTGCAAAAACCCGACCAACTTTGTTAATAGGCCTAGGAGGAGAGCAGAGTAAGTTTTCTCTAACGCAGAGGATACGCGTCCGGTAACCGGACGTGGATTAGGCGTCCGGCAGTTACTGTCATAACCTAACCTAACCAACCAAACTTGCTGATAATTAAAAAATCAAATGAAGGTTCAAATCTCTTCATAACATAAAATTATAAATGCCAAAAATTCTAACAAAAGATGTACAGTTAAGAAGAAATTACATTCAAAGCAAAATCTGTGACAAAAAGTTTAAGAAACCGATGGATTTCGAACCAGGGACCTCTAGGATATCAGCCGAGCACTCTATCCACTACACCACGAACAACGCTGACCGATAATCGTATCGTTGTGGTAATGGCGTTCCGGGACCCCACAACCCGGTGACGTCACTACCGGACGCCTAATCCACGTCTGGTTACCGGACGCGTATCCTCTGTGTTTCTCTAATCATCACTCCTGACTCCTTCCTTGTTAATATTAAATGTAGCATTCAGCTGAGACTTCAACATTCTTTTTGCTGTATTGTTATTTTTGCTTTGCTACCCTACATGTTTAAGTTACATTAACTTACTTTTGGTCCTTACTTTAGGATATTGCGAAATGCAAATATCGATCGATATATTGATTAATCGATTGTTTCATTCGATATATCGTATGGCTAGTTAGTTATACTTAAGGTTAACCTAACCTAACTAACCAAATGATAACTTAGGCTATATCGAATGAAACAATCGAATAATCAATATTTTCATTCGAATGAGTGTAGGACGTAAATTTAAAGTAAAGTGCAGCCGTTTACAGGACTAGGGTCTATTGTTACTGTGATGTGTAGGCCTAATCAAACTTTATGGGACCAGCCCATATAGGCCTAAGATAACTTGCTAGCATAGTTAACCCTCCGAGTGTCCATAGTTTAGGCCTTAATGTCCGCCTATTTTTGGCGCATTTGCAAGGTTTTATTAAAACGGATCTGAGAAGCTTAAAACAATGTTAATTCTACTGTTCTATATACCATTTTGTTTGGAAAATCATGGGCTTTAACCCTAGGAGTGGCAGATCGACAGAAAATGTCGATTTCAAAATGTGCCGCTGGAGTGGCGGGCGACAGAATATGTCGATTTATGTAATGTTTTTTTCAGTTGCATGTTAAGCACATTTAAAGTCGGTGAAATGACATAACTCTTTTACCAATGGAAAGATAAGATTCCGAAGTTTCATTTTATTATAAGAATGAACCTTATAACATAAATATGTCGATCTTATAATGAGTTACATTTAAACGAAAAATACGCGCAAACTCGCGAGCGCCATGTTTTGTTGCGCAATTGTAAAAGATGAGTCATTTCAAAAATAAATAGCAGACGTAATTTTTGTCTCAGACAAAAGCAAGTGGTACCACTGCAACAAGCATGAAGTAATCTTTTATTCTGTATAAAGTATAACGTCATAATACATTCCAACAGCTGATGAACAATTTTTGTAAAAAGCCTATTTTTACGTATTGTCCATGTGGCCAATCGACATAAAATGTAGATTTCTAAATTGCATATATATACCATGTGAAAAGTACAAAAACGTTGTTTTATATACGCTCTTGTAGACGAAGGACAGTAGAATTCAATGTCATTAGGCTGGTCACACAAATAGAAGCTTTTGATTTTTCAAAGCTAAAAAGGAACAGAACACTTGTCATCGTCTAACCTAAAATGGCGGCGTCGTCGTGAGTTTTTGTCCGATAACAAAGACGAAGTGTGGGTTTTATCCCTAATTTTACAGTGTAATGTTCGTTTTAGTTTATTACAAAATAATAATACAAAATAGGCGAAATATTTATGCATTATTTTGCATAAATATCCCTCCGAGCGTCCATCGTCGAAAAATCGACGCGCTACACACTTTGTGTAGTGTCACACGTCGATTTTTCGACGCGCGAACATCGTTTACGGCGAAGGCTCTATGACTGACTGAATCGGATTGAACTGAATCGAGTTAGGTATCGTTCTTTTCGTTATATTCTAAGCTTTCTCCAGAGGTCTGTCTCAGCGCTGTATGTTCTCCGAGCCGATCGTAATTGTAGCAGACAGCTGACGTGCGTATTTGTAAATAGCTAGGTTACCCTTGGACCGATGACTGATGTGTTTTATTACGTTTATCATTGTTTTAGTGTTAAAAATCAAAAGTAGTGATATACGTGGTGCATTATAAGAAGATTTAAGTGATTTTGAAGGGCTGGTTGATGATCCTGAAGAAGTAGGTAGTGATATTGATGTAAATTATCAGCCAGATTCCTAGCTATGGTTAGGCTATGCATTCTTAATAATAATATAATGTTACCTTCTAACGTTCCAAAATGGTGTAGTCATACGACGCGTTTTGGAAAACACTACACTATTTTGGAACGTTAGAAGGTAACATTATATTATTATTAATAACTGACGTTCCAGTAGTAGGAATGAATTCTAATATGCATTCTTAGCTAAACGCTATGTACTGAAATCTGTTTTTTGCCCATAGACATAGACATAGACATAGACATAGACATATTTTATTTGCACATAACATTCTTTACATGTGTTACATACAGAATAGGTGCATTGTCAGAGTTTGAATTGTCAGAATATAAAAAATAAAATAGTAATCAAGATGATAATATAATTAACAAAATTGAATGATAAAACTATTCTAAACTAAAGGGGCATTGTGAAAATCTGCAATTAAATAAAAGGCTCTGTCAATTAAGAGTTCACCTATTTTATCTTTAAAATTATTTTCATTTAGCAATTTATAGTTTGCAGGCAGCACATTGTACAGCCTCAGCCCAGCATATAGTGGACTTTTTTCATAAAGGGTCAAATGGTGCCTTGGAAATCTAAAAATGTTTTCATTTCGAGTATTATATCTATGGTTGATTTGAATTGATTCTGGGAGGTCGTTTTTAGCTGAATGAATGTAGTTTAGTGATTCCAAGATGTACAGTCCTGTTAGGGTGTGGATTTTTAAATTTCGAAAAAGGTTTTTGCATGAACTACGTGGATGAGAGCTGGTCATAATACGGATAATGCGTTTTTGTAGCCTGAATATTGATTTGACTCCGGTAGCCTGACCCCATAAGATTATACCATACCTCAATACTGATTCTACATAAGCATGATAAACCATTTTCAGAGTTTCTTTAGGAACACAGTCCCTTAAGTGCAGAAATACAATTGACATGGATCTAAGTTTACTTTTCAATTGATTCAGATGTACATCCCATTTAAGTGATTCGTCTATGTAAACACCTAGAAATTTATGAGACGTTGCCAATTTAAGGGATTCAATTTTATTACCATTGTTTCTGACAGAAAATTTTATTGTTTGCGTTTTTTCAAGATTAAGTTTTAATCCATTGTTCAAGAACCAACCTTCCATGTCATGAACCACATTTTCAAGAGAAGATAGCATTTCAGAAGTACTATTATTTTTTATCAAGGCTGTTGTATCATCTGCAAAAAGAATTAGTTCCTGATCAATAGCTTTAGGGAGGTCATTAACGTAAATTAGAAAGAATAGAGGACCTAAGATTGAACCTTGGGGCACACCTGCCGATAGGTTTTCCCATGGCGAATAGTACTTGATCTTATCCAGTGTTATTACAGTTCTTTGTTTTCTATTAGAAAGGTAAGAACTCAATAGAGAGTGACAACTTCCCCTAATACCATAATCACTCAGCTTGAGCTGAAGGACTGAGTGATCAACACAGTCAAAAGCTTTGGACAGGTCACAGAAAACACCAGCTGTAGCCTGAGACCCGTCCAAAGCCTGGGTAACCTCATTTATAAACTGTGTTAGTGCAGAACCTGTGCTTAAATTTTTCCTGAATCCAAATTGTTTGTTATAAAATAGATGATTGCTTTCAAAATAACTAACCAATCTCAAATTTATGACCTTCTCAAATATTTTAGAAAAATTACTCAATACAGAAATTGGACGGTAATTGTTAATATCCGATTTTAGGCCCTTTTTAAATATTGGTGAGATTTGGGAAAGTTTTAGTTTATCCGGAAAAATTCCATGTATTAAACACTGGTTAATAATTTGAGATAAAGGTTCAGCAATGATATTAACAGTGGCTTTTATCAATTTAATTGGGATCTCATCCCAGCCAACGGATGATTTGTTTTTTAGTGACAGAACAATCTTTTTGATTTCCTCCACATTAGTTAGCCTGAGGCTGCACAATGATATCCCATTATCATTACAGATATGTTTCACTGAAGCATGGACTCCATTGACAGTAGCCTTTTGAACATTTAAGTTACTTACTGTATTCGAAAAAAAATTGTTAAAAACTTTAGCAATACTTCTAGGATTACCAAGCTCATAACCATTTGTATCTTTCAAAACTATTCTTTCTTTTGGTTTTTGGTTTGTATTGCCAAGCTCTTGATTTACAATTTGCCAAGCTGCCTTAGTTTTGTTTTCTGATGTTTTTATAAAATTGCTATTCGCTAGTAATTTTGCTTTTTTTACAACTTTGTTAAATATGTTTTTATAATGCTTAACATATGTAATAAACTGTTGGTCATTACTGAGCTTGGCTTGCATGTGCAATTGTCGTTTTGTTTTACTTGAAATTTTTATACCTTGAGTAATCCAGTTTACAGAGAAAGACTTGGTTTTAGAATTATTACTATTATTTTTAAGAAACTTTGGAGGAAATATAGAATTAAAAGTCAAAAGAAAATCACTTAAAAAGTTGCTAAAGTTTTCATTTGGGTTCAGGACTGGATCAAATGTAAAATTAATATTTTGGTTTAGATATGTACAAAATTCATCAATTTTTCTATTTGAAATTATTCTTTTGGTATAGGAACTTGTATTATTATTATTACCAGTAGTCAAAATATTCTTATATTGCCCAGGGAGGCTCAGGAATATGGCGTTATGGTCAGATAAACCTAAATCAGTATTCAGTTTATGGTCTACTTTATAAATTTTTTTTGTAATCATGTTATCTATACAAGTAAATGAATTGGCAG